CTCGAACTCACAATGATCCTCCTGCCTCAGCCTCCTGGTGCTAGGATTATAGGGGTGCACCACCACTCCCAGCTGTTAATGGATTCTCATATCTTCTTAGTTCAGCTTTGGTAATGCCTCTACATCTATCTATTTCTAGATTCTCTACTTTACTGGAGTAACTACTGAAGTAGTTACTAATAATTTGGATTTTGGCAGTGTCTGTTGTGATTTCACCTGTCTTAAGTTACTTTTCTCTCATTGCTGAGACAAAATACTCAATGCCCAAATTAAAGAGGGAAAGGTTCATTTAGCTCACAGTTTGCAGAGGTTTCAGTCCATAATCAGTGAGTTCCAAGGCAGGATGGCACATGGCACGGGGCAATAGTTCATGGCAGCAGAAAATAGCAAAAGCAACAAAAGCAAAAAGGGGGAAGCAAGACAGCAAGCCTCTTTCCCTTCCTTTACTGTATGTAAGCTACCTGCCCCAGGGCGGGTGTAGCACTCACACCCATAATCCCAGCAGGAGACCATGAATCAGTCACAAACTCTAGAAGCCTGCCCCCACAACTGCATAAGGTTTTGGGGGGACTTCTAGACACAAACCATAATATCACCTTTTCCACTTCTAATTGCACTGATTTGGGTCTTTCCTTTGTGGGGGGTGTCTATTTCAAAGAACCCACTAACTATTCATTGATTCATCATATTTTTTTTTAGTCTCAATTCATTAATTTCTGCTTTGATCTGATTATAATAACTTTCTTTGTGCTAGGCTTGTATTTGGGTTGTTCTTATTTTTCTAGAACTTCAAGGTGTATCTGGAGGTTATTTGGGCTCACTGTTCTTCTGATGTGTATATTCATAACTATAAGCATCCCTCTTAGGACTGCTTTCATTGGGTTTCACTGGTTCTGGTATGTTGTCACTGACATTGTCATCTGATTCTAGGAACTAATTTCTTCCTTGATTTCTTCTGTGACCCACTGACTATTAAATAGTACTGTTTAACTTCCATGTGTTTGCATAGTTTGTTTTCCCTTTTGTCACTGATTTCTAGTTTTATTGCACTATAACCTAATAATATGCATGGGATAATTTCTATTTTTTAACTTATTTTAGCCTACTTTATGGGCTAGTATGTGATCTACTTTGAACAAAGTTCCATGTGTTGCTGAGAAAAATGTGTGTTCTACTGCTGTTGGAACACTCCGTAGATATCTATTAGGTCCACTTGTTCAAAGGTATGGTTCACTTCAGGTATTTGTGTCTTTTTGGAAATCTATTCTCTTTGCTGAGGACTTTTCTTCCTACTTCACCGAGAAAATAGAAACAATGGGAAAACTATTTCCATCTTTCAACTCACCCAAATCTCTACCCAGGTGCTCTATATCCTGATTCCTGTCTGAGCAATCTGCAATTTGAGTAATGGACTTCATCCTCTTTTGCCCAAAGACATCTTTCTTATAACAGGTGTCTCTGCTTCTACATCAACTCTTTTTTTGTTGCTGACACAATCTCATCAGCTGTATGCTACATATGTTTGCCTATCTGTATGTCGTACTACACTTTATATGTTTATGTCTCACCTTAAAAACAAAATCAAAGAGAACAGAAAGAAAAAAATGGAAACAAATCATTTGTAAATGGGGAGAGAAAAAAGGGTTGAAGGGAGGGGAGGAGAATGGGGTAGAAAAAAGAAGAATAAAGACATATTAAGTAGCCAGGTGTAGTGGCACATGCCCGTAATCCCAGTAGTCAGGAGGCTGGGGCAGGAAGATTGTTGTGAATTCAAGACCTGCCTCAGCTACAAAGTGAGCTCAAGGCCAGCCTGAACTGCATAGTGAGATCCTGTCTCAAAAAGACAAAAAAAAAAAAAGAAGATATATTATGTACAGGTACAAATTCCCTATGATGAATGTGATCATTACCCATATCAAAAGTATACCAATAAATTTTGTAAAAATCCTTTCCTACAAAAAACATCTAAAATCAAAGACCTTGTTCCTTGCCTTCACATCTCTATCCAGCTCACCTTCAAAGCAACATGCCCCATAAAAATTCTCAATACTTGCTGTCTCCCCCCCTTCCTATTTTCTCTTAATTAAGTTTTTGTCAACAATATCCCACTGTAATCAGGACAACCAATGGACTCTGGGCTGCCAAATCCATTCAATTTCTAGTATGCATCTTAACCTATCAGCATCATAAAACATCTTTGACCACTGCCTACCTGAAACACATTTTTACCTGGCTTCCAGAAAAACTACTCTCTTGGTATAAAAGGACTACTTCATGGCTGTTACTTCTAAGTCTCTTGTGCAGTTCTTCCTCATCTACAGACTTCTAATGTTAAACATGCCCTAGTCCTCACATTCCTCTCTCCCTCCCTCCTATGTACTAGGGATTGAACACAGGGCTTCGCAGTGCTAGGCAAGCACTCTACCGCTGAGCTACATTGCCAACCAGTCCTTAACTTTGTCTTCTCTCATTATACTCACTCCTATCTATGGTAGCTATCCAACCTTATGGTTCTAACTCCATCTACATCCTGAAAAGTTCCAAATATGTATCCCCACTTGAATCTCTGATGTGAAATCCTAAAACAGACATCCAATTGTCTACATACATTAACTATTTGGAAGTACAAAGCCAAACTCCTGATTTTCCACAAAAACCTTCCTCATCTTAAAAATGACAAATCCACAATTTTTTAAAGAGACATACTTTATTCTTTTTTGCCCTCTCACTGTCGTTAACTGCTACCTTTTGAAAGTTTTTTTGTTTTGTTTTCGGTTTTTTTGGTCTTTTTGAGATAGAGTCTTCTGATGCAGTTCAGGCTGGCCCTGCACTCACTTTGTAGCTCAGGCTGGTCTGGAACTTGCAACGATCCTCCTGCCTCAGCATCTTAAGTGCTGGAATTAGAGGTGTGTGCCACCATGCCTGGCTGAAAGTATTTTTAAAAATACTACCACTTCAAAGATCTGTGGAAGATGGAGCAAGTAGTGGAAGCATCGTTTCTGGATCATTTCAAATCCCAACATGAAAACAGAGTAGTTAGACAGCAACACCAAAATCCCAAGAATAATACAACAAAATTAGGCAGGTTAACACACAATAATTGTCAAAATGGCCCGAGGATATAGCTCAACAGTACAGTGCCTGCCTAGCAAGTGTGAGATCACCAATTTGATTTCCAGTATCCAAAAAAAAAGAAAAAAATTGCCAAAATGGAGTATCCTTTGAGTAAGTCATTTGAAGCATGACTTTGGTAAAATGTAAGTGGGAGCAAATAATCAGAACAAATTTCAGAAGAATAAGGCTCAAAGAGGAAAAGTGATTTGTCTAAGCCATAATGGTAATTAACATCCTAAAACATGTAACAGACACTGGGATGGAATTTTTTCAGATTCCTTGATCACTAAATGTTACTAACCTGATTCTTCAGATTTCTTTTACTCATGGGATTACATAACTAATTTAAGTAATAATTTTAGTGACATTTTCATTTTCAGATGTTTTATTTGGCTCAAAACTTCTTCCTCCTCTTCTTCTGTATCCTAGACAGTTTATTTATCAATTAATACAGACAGACTCCCAAAGGAATCACTAGTCAAATAATTATTCAACTAATCAAATTCTAAGCAATTACAAGACCCTAGCTGTATCACTAGGAAAAGACAGCCTTGGGAAGTCTGGAAGATGGTAGCAGCTGATTCATTCCTAAAAATAGAGCAACTACATAGAAAAACCCAAACTCCTTGACAATATCTGCCAGTAAAACACAGTGAAATAGTATCCTGCAAACCCTAAAATACAGATGGAGAAAATACACCAACAGCCACAAGGTGTAAGTGTTATAGGTAATCTGCACAGGAGAAAGAAAGGAAAATATAGGCGGCATCGGATGGACTCTATAAAATAGCCAACAGTCGTTCACAGCAAAGTATGGTGAGCTAATTTTTAAGAACCAAAGCTGAGCCCAGAAAGGGTCATGCTTTCTCCATAATGAGTGCAATGTTCTCATAGTCAAGACTGAAGAAGCTGTGCCCTGCAAGAATCTGTTAGTAGAATAACGTATTTTATTTCATAAATCACAAATACTAGGGGCTGGGGATTTAGCTCAGCAGCACAGCGCCTGCCTGGCAAGCGCAAGGTCGTCAGTTTGATTCCCGGTACCAGAAAAAAAAACAAACAAAAAAAACAAACACTAAACTTCAGATGAATAAAAATATAAACCTTAGCAACAGGACTTGGGGAATGTAAGAATCTGTTGAATGAATAAATGACTTTATTTGTGGATAATAGGTTTGCCTTAGGTCTTCCTGATGAAACACAATAAAAACTTCCAAGTTTGTTTTTCACTGTGACCTACAGAGAAATACATTTGTTCACTAGTATTGTATATACATACATTTATGCATGCATGATGGAAAAAATTTCCTGAAATGAGGTTTTTCTTTACTACTGTAAAACACTTTTCTACTCTAGTCTTATTCTGGCAGGGATATAAGGGCAAAAGAGATGGCACATACCAATGTACAGTAAGAAAATATTGCTACTGCCACTATAGCACAGCAGTTAAAGTATGGATGTCTAGTCTCAAACCTTGACTTTGCCATGTCTGACCTGTTACTTTGGGCAAAGTACTTAATTTCATTACTTAAGTTTCTTCATTTACAAAATAGTAGTAACTCCATTTATCTCATAGGTTCTTTAGATGCTTCACTAAGTTTACCCACGAAGAGTCCTCATAATATCATATGGGCCCTGGTATATGTTCAACAAATACGTATTATTATTGTTCTTGCTGTTGCTGTTGTTCAAGTTAAAGTTTAGTTAAAGTTTATTTGGGTCCACATATAAGAGGGAAAATTTCTAAGTGAACTCTAATCAGAAACAGTATAAGAAAGTACTCTGAAAATAGAGTAGGAAAATAAGTTATATTCCATGTTCATAAAAAATTGTTAGTCAATAATAAAAAAATCAGATTTTTGGCAATGACTTCAAGCACTGCTTACCTATAATGTCACTTCTCATTGCTTCTGTAATTGGTATGGGTTTAACAGCATCTGGAGATATATATTTGGTAAAAGTATTCACTGCATCTTGTTCTATACCTGCAAGGGAAAAAGGGGGCAAACTTCAAAATCAAAAAGCAATGAGGACCATAGGAATGGATATATTCATGAAGAGCATGACTTTTTTTTTTTTTTTTTTGCTGTATACGCTTGTTACAAAATAAGCTTCTATCATAAAGTTGTTTTGATTGGTTTGTAGAAGAAGAGTTACATGTGACTTTTCTTTCAGTCTCCTTATGAGCTAACAGACTTCATTGTTAACGGCACCCTTATCCGCCACCTGAACACTGGAGACTGAACCCAGGACCTTGTGAATGCTAGGCCAGCACTCTTGCTGAGCTATATCCCCAGCCCTTTTTATTTTATCCTGAGAAAGGGTCTCACTAAGTTGTCTCCAATTTATGATCTGACTTCCACAGGCTCCCAAGTAACTAGGATTAGCGATGTGCACACCTCACACCTGCTATTATTTATGTACATTCTCTTTCCACGTCTCCTCTCCGAAGACCCAACCTGAAAGACCTGCACAGCAATATAACAGTAAGAGCTCAGAATTTATTCATAAATCTACATTTAAAGTATATTACCAAATTATTTTACATACATGAATAAATTCATTTAATCTTCAAAAAATCTGAAAGGTTAAACAATGAATTTTACACTTTTTAATCTCAGGATTTCTTTGTAATCTTAAATATTAAGGGGCTCAGGTATAGCTCAGTAAAAGAATGCCCACCTACCTACATATTTCCCCAGAAATAAGACCCAGCTAGAAAATAATCAGCTTTGAAAACTACAAATCAAAGCCAGGCGTGGTAGCTCACACCTGTAATCCCAGTACTTGGGAGGCTGAGGCAGGAGGATTGCTGTGAGTTCAAGGACAGCCTCAGCTACAAAGTGAGTTGAAGGCCAGCCTGAGGTGCATAACGAAACCCTGTCTCAAAAAGAAAAAGAAAAAAAAAAAAAAAACTACAGATCAAAAATGCCAGCTCCAATCAGCCCATCCTTGCCTTAACTATCCTACAGAGTAGCCACCAAGCAAGAGAATAATGATAGCAGGTAACTCAAGGACAGGCTGATTGTGGCTGGCATTGTGGATCTCTAGTTTTCAAGGCTGATTACTTTCCAGCTAGGTTTTATTTTCAAGGAAAGAGATAATGTGTGAGGGCCTGGGCCCAATCTCCAGCAGTACAAATAAATTATCTTAAAAAGCTTCTGTTTAGGTATTTTCATTTACAGATACTAAGGCTTTAAGAGAATAAAAATGAGAAAAATTACTTAACACTATCAAATCTTTACATGACCAACAAAAATTTTGATAACTACCTTTCAAAATGAAAAAATTAGTGGAAAGAGAACATTTTACATTTCTGCAACTCCTTCATGTTTGTTTTGACAGCAAACTTGGATTCTCATATCTGTTTAGCATTAATTTATGCTCTTATTGTAGATAAATATATATTAAGAAAAATTGGCTTCATAGACATGTAGTTGGAAAATACAGAATTTGAATAGCTTTTTGAGATAATTATTGATATATTCTTTGATACTACTCCAAAAATGATGGTTTTTTAAACATCAGAATGTAGCACCTGCAATCTTTGGCAATAAATTTTTCATACTATGTTACACAAAAATCTACTGGCCTAGCCAGGCATGGTGACCAATACCTATAATCTCAGCACTCAGGAGGCTGAGGCAGGAGGATTGCTGCAAGTCTGAGGCCAGCCTAGGCCACATAGTAAATGTAAGGCCAGCCTAAACTACATAGCAAGAAAAAAACAAAAGAAAGGGCTGGGGAGATAGCTCAGCGGCACAGTACCTGCCTGGCAAGCACAAGGTCCTGAGTTCAATTCTTGGTATTAAAAAAACAAAAAAACAAAAACAAAAAACCCACAATGAAATGACAAATAATATCCAAGAATTATTACAAAAACAGTTTTGACCTCATTGATTCCCTTGATAAAGTCTCAGGGACCTTCTAGAGGAGTATACGCCACTTGTGAAGAATCCCTGGGCTAGCAGAATAAATCATTATCCCCAATTTTATGGAAAAGAAAATTTATGTATAAAAAAGTAAAAATCTGATTTGAGTCAAGATAGTATGGAAGTATGCCAGGCACAGTGGCACATGCCTGTAACCCCCCAGCACTTGGGAGGCTGAGGCAGCAGGATCACTGTGAGGTAAAGGCCAGCTTACACTACATAGTGAGACCCTATCTCAAAAAAAAAAAAAATGCATGGAAGTGGGGAGTAGAAGTATAGAGGTTGGACCAGGGATATAGCTTGGCAGCACGGAGCTTACCTGGCAAGTGCAAGGTCCTGAGTTTGATTCCCGGTACCAAGAAAAAAAAAAGTATAGAGAGAGGTGATGGAGACCACTATGAAGCAGCTCTGAGCAGGACTTACATTAACCAATTGACTTTCCATATTTATTGTGAGTCACTGGTCCCTACTGAGGCCTGTTAAGGTAGGTGAAACCATGAGGCCTCAAAGGGCAAGACAAGGCCACAGCTGAGGACTTTTGGCTCCAACCCCAATTAACTAAAAGGAGACTGTAGCTGTAGCAGGCACCTCACTCCTGCAGTTAAGGCCTTCCTGGAGTTAACATAGTTCTCCTAAATTAACATAAAGTATTACTTGGAGAAGTCTTCAAAGGGATTCTGAAGACCTGCATTTTCTTCAGTATCCCCCTCCTTTGTTTGAAAACCTAGTAAATATGGGCCACCCAGGGAAATCTGGGTCTTAACCCAGAGAATCTCAAATTCTGCAAGAAAGCTGGATCCTCCTGGAGCCCTACAATCATTTCAATCATCTCATTTATTTAAGGCTTCACTGTCCACTTGTTTGGGACATTGTGGGCCTTATCAGCCTGCAGTAACTAAGGGATATTATTAACCCAATATAGTGGTTTTATGTGTTTGATGTTGCTACCAGCTTAAAATACACTTATATTTATGTCAGCCACGTAGTAGACACACAGAAAATACCTAGAAAAGATGTACACAAGAAAATGAAAAAGGAAGTATGACATTACACACAAAAAAATCAACAAAACACAAAGGAAAACAGGAAAAAGGGTCAAAAAGCTATAAGATATTAAATGATTTAAAAACTGGCAGTTAAGTCCTACTTTATCAATAATTACATTAAATGCAGATTGATTATATTCCCCAACGGAAAGACAGAGAGGCTGAGTGGATTAAAAATAAGACCTAAGAATTTGCTGTCTAAAAAGAATCTTTTAGATTTAAGGATAATAACAGATTAAAAGTGAAGCAATGTAAAAAGATACTCCACATAGATGAAAAAGACATTCCACACAAATGGCAACCAAAGCAGAGCCATACCTACATCAGACAAGATCGATTTTAAGTCAAAAATGTTAATTCAAACATTGACAGAATCGGGAGAGAAATAGACAGCAATAATCTCAGTAATAAACTTCAGCACACTACTTTCAATGATGAACAGAAGAATCAGACAGGAGATCAGTCAAGAAACAGGGAACTGAAATATTACAGCACAACAATACCTAAGAGACCTGACAAAACATTTCACCCAACAGGAGAATATACATTCTTAAGCACACACAGAACATTCTCCAGGGTACATGAGATGTTAGGTCATGAAACAAGTCTTAACAAATTTAAAAAGACTGAAATCATAGTAAGTGCCTTTTCTAATTACAACAGAATGAAACTTCTATAGAAATCAACAGCAGAAAGAAAACTGGGCAGTTCAAAAATATGTGGAAGTTAAACAACACATTCTTGAACAACCAATAACCTAAAGAACAAATCAAAAGGGAAATTGGAAAATATCTTGAGGTAAGTAAAAATACAACATATTAAAACTTTCAGGATATAGCAAAAGGAGTAGTTTATAAACACCTACATTTAAAATTTAAAAATCTAAAATTAACAATCTGAATTTATACAAGAAATTAATGAATGAAGAGCTAAACCTAATGTTAGCAGAAAGAAGAAAATAATAAAAGTTAAAAGCAAAACAACAAAATAGTGAAAACAACAGAAAAATTCAATGAAACAGAAATGACTTTTGGAAAAGACCAGTAAAGTTGACAAACCTTTAGATAGACTACAAGAAAAGATTTAAATAAAATTGGAAGTGAAAGAGGACATACTGCAACAGTTGCCACAGAAATAAAAAAGGATCACAAGAGACTACTGTACTATGAATAATTATATACCAACAAATTAGATAATCTAAAAAAATGGATAAATTCCTAAAAATATAAAGCATATCAACAACGAATTCTAAATGAATAGAAAATCTGGACAGACTTTTAACTAGAAAGGAGACTGAAAAAGAATAGAGCTGCAGGCATCACAATTTCTGACTTTGAAATATATCATAAAACTAAAGTAATTACACAATATGGTACTAACTGACATAAAGATGCACAAATAAATCAATGAACCAGAATAGGGAACTCAGAAATACACACAAACATTTAATTGACCTTTAATAAGATCACTGGGCCCTTAACCACGACATACCAACTTTTTTTTTTTGTACTGGCAATCAAATTCACTTCTCACTTGCCAAGCAGATGCTGTGCCACTGAACTATATCCCTGACCCATGACATGCCAACTTAAATGGATTAAGAAATGCCTAACACATTAGTAAAGCACAGTTCTAAGTGTCTGGGGATGACGGTGGAAGGAAGATCAACCCCAGTTTAAGATCAACCCCAGTGTGAATGGCACAACCAAAAGCCTTGTAGCCTGAATGGAATAACAAGGGAAGGATGAAGGAAGTATAACCCTTTTTGAAGAGCCTTAGTCTTCACAGCTGCCTTTGGACATCAGTGTCCAGGTCTCCAGTTTCTTTGGCTTTCCAAAACAGACACACATCAACAACCCTCCAGTGAGCTTTCAGGCCCTTCAACCTTGGACTGCATCCTTGATCCCTCTTGGTCTGCAGCTTCCATCTTCTTGGCTGAGCAGATGGACTCTCCAGCTTTCACCATGACAGCCTTTGTGGATTCTCTCACCTATGATCCTCTATGACTACCTAATAAATCCCCTTGCATAATTATAGGTAGATTTTCTATTGATTCTGTGCTATAGAGAACCATAAATACTACAAACATCAAGAATAGAAAATGAAGAAAAGGATAACATCTTCATGAAATGACAATGGGAAACTTGGAAATCCAAATGTAAAAGAATGAGGACGGACCCTTATCTTACATCTTGTACTAAAATCAACTCAAAAAGAATGACAGGTCTAACTATATGACCTAAAACTATAAAATTCTTAAAGAAAACATAAGGTAAAAGCTTCAGAACATCACATTAAGCAGTGTTTTTTTTTTTAGAGACATCAAAGCACAAGTTTAAAAACTAAAAAAGGTAAATGGGACTATATCAAACTAAAAAGCTTCTGTACAGCAAGAAAACAGTGAAAGGTCAATCTACAGAGTGGGAAAAAATTTGCAAACCATTATCTGACATGGTATTAATACCCAAAATACATATGGGAATCCTCCAACTCAACAGCAAAAGAACAAAACAAAGAGTAACAACAACAAACCCCAAATAACTAAAAAAGTAAATAAATAGTGAACAGACATTTCTCCAAGAAAAACATACAAGGCTAGCCTGAACTACACAGTGAGACTCTGTCTCAAAGTAAATAAATATATAAATTCTAAAATTAAAAAAGAAAATTTAAAAGTCAGGCATGGGAGTACAAGCCTGTAATCCCAGTACTCAGGAGGCTGAGGCAGGAGGATCACAAGCTCAAGGCCAGCCTAGGCTCTATAGTGAGTTCAAGACCTGCCTGGATTTACATGTGATACCCTGTCTCAAAAAAAACAGAAAAAAAAATTATGAAAAATGGTAGAACCTTAATCCATGTCCAGACACCATAACCAAACTATTGAAAATTAGAGGGAAAAAATGCCTCACAAGCAGCTAGAGAAAACTATACAGTAAATATAAAGTAATATTGATTCCAGGATGTGGTCCATTAAGCACTAGTAACCATACAGCCTAGAAGGCAGTGAAACACTTGTCAAGTGGTTAAAAAAAAAAAAAAAAAAAAAAAAATTATCATCCCAGAATTCTCTACTCAAACAAAAATTACCTCAAGAGTGAAATCAAAACTGAGATTCTTAAATGAAGGTTAACTAAGAAAATTCTTTGACAATAGATCTTTTCTAAAAGAAATACAAAAGAAAACTGAAACTCAAGTAAAATAATGACAAACTATAGCTGAATTTCAGGGATAAAGAGTAACACATATAACAATCAAGTGGGTAAAAACAATTTTTCCTCAAATTCTTTAGATTATGTATGATAGCTGAAAGCAAAAATTGTAATATTGTCTGATGAGTTTTCCACATATAAAGATGACAATTACAAAACTAGGTGGGAAGGCACAGGCATCTACACAGTGGTAAGATTTCTATTATTTCACTTGATGTGATAAAACATTAATTTTAAGTACACTAAAAATATGCTCTGTGTAATCTACTAAAAAAGCCATACAAAGAGATATGATCAAGAACTCTAATCTTAAAAAACAAAAAAGAGCCGGGCATGGTGGCACATGCCTGTAATCCCAGCACTGGGG